ACGCGGGAAAGGACCTCCGGTGAGACAGCGTGTGCACTGGTCAACGAGGCGACTGCGCCGGTATTCAGAACATCCTCAAGTTCCAGAAAAGACCAAAATCAAGGGCGCAGCGTCGGCAGCGTGAAAGTGCCACTACCTCAAAAGTCTTTGGAACGCTTATTAAGCCAGCAAATATAACGGCACACCGAGTAACGGTTCTCGGTGTCACCTACGACCTCTGGAAAAATGAGCGTGAACGGGAGCGAAAATAACTCCGCAGAGTCTGCTAAAAACGACAGCAACGCTGACGACACCGAAAGCGCCAACAACGTGGACAGCGACAAACCGCAAACCAATGCGGTTTTCGGGAAACTACCGTTTCCCAAGCTCAACTCGAGATACAACATCGAGTCGTGGTTTATTAAGGTGGACGCATGGTTCGAGCTACATGGGTTTGGCGTACGTAAGGAGAAAGATAAGTACACCGCTATGATAGCACATGCGGACGACCACATTCTGGACCAGGTTTTCGAACTAGTGCGCTGTCCACCTACAACGGCCCCGTATGCCACGCTAAAAAAGCCATAATCGATAAATTCAGCGATTCAGCTATGGCTCGACTCGATAAACTAACTGGCATACTAACTAACTAGCATACAGCTTGGTGACAGTAAGCCAAGCCACTTGCTCAGCTAAATGCAAAGGACGAATGCTACGAAAGACGAGTCCGTTATCCAGCAATACTGGCTTAAGCAACTACCGGAAGCCGCACGCGCCGTCATCGCCGGTATGCTCCAGGCGCAACCAAGCACGCCATTGCATCAACTCGCCATTATCGCTGACGCGGTACTCGACGCACTAAGCCGCGATACGAACCTAACATCTCCGGCTAAAGGAGCTGGGGTCAACGCGATTGAAATGCCAGCAAACCGGGTGGCCTCTCTAGAAAAGCGGATCGAGAAACAAGATGCCATCCTCGACAATATTAACAGTAAGTTGAACCAACTGACTCTCCGCCATCGCAGCCAACAACGCGAACGTTCACGCAGCAACGCGAGACGCTCTAACACACCCCGTGGTACTACAAAGGCGGACCAATATCCGACTTGTTGGTATCATCGCGAATACGGAACGCAAGCTCGTAAGTGCCGCAGCCCTTGCGACTTCCCGACGAAACCCAAAAAACTGAGCACTGCCGTACAGCCTAGGCTCGAAGGTTACGGCAGAATAGAATCATCGGGCAATCAGTCACAATGCGAATTAGAGGTAAAGTTTTCAGAATTCACAAAATCTTAACGTTTTTTCATCCCAGATAGAGGGCACAATAGACCTAAGGTCGCAGTGCACAGCCTCTAACATTCTATCTATCTATCTATCCCAGATAGAAAGTCGGGCGAACTGTTTTTGATCGACACTGGTGCGGAAGTATCAGTTATTCCCCCAACGCGGGCATGTCGGTTGTCGAATTTCAAAGGCAGCCCGCTGTTCGCAGCTAATGGCACCACCATCAACACGTACGGCGTAACACGGTGAACACTCGACCTAGGCCTACAACGCAAGTTCACATGGGACTTCGTCATCGCGGAGACGAAGTACGCAATTATTGGCGTCGACTTCCTCGGTCGCTTTAACTTAATCATCGATATCGCGAATTCCATACTAATCGACAAAGCCCACAAATACACTCATCGACAGAGTCCGCCAGGTATATTTAGCTTCGAAAAGATGAACATCAACGAAACATGCAGCAATTCCGCCGATATCACAAACCTGCTCCACGAGTTTAGTGGGATCACTAATCCTAATGCAACGGCCCCATCGGCAACACAGGCTGGAGTAACTCACTGCATCGAAACGAAAGGCCCGCCTGTTTTTTCTCGACCAAGACGCCTCACAGTACATTAACTAAAAGCGGTAAAAGTGGAGTTCGAATTTCTAACCAGGCTTGGAATTTGTCGGCCGTCAAAAAGCTCGTAAGCCTGCCCGTTACACATGGTCAAGAAAGCAAACGGCGAATGGCGCCCATGTGGCGACTATCGTGCTCTTAACGCCCAGACAGTACCGGATCGTTACCCGCTACCACACATACAGGACTTCACCCACTTCTTGTACCGAAAATGCGTTTTCAGCAAAATCGATCTCAACCGAGCTTACCATCAAATTCCCATCGAACCTGGCGATATCCCGAAGACGGCAATAACCACGCCATTCGGATTATTTGAGTTTACGTACATGACGTTCGGTCTGTGCAACGCGGCGCAAACGTTTCAGCGCTTTATGCACGCAGTTTTCTGTGGACTTCACTCTGTTTTCGTGCACATCGACGATGTGTGTATCGCTTCAGAAAGCATCGAGCAACATAAAGGCCACTTGCAACAAGTTTTCGTACGTCTTCGACAGTTTCACCTGGCGATCAACCTCAGCAAATGTAAGTTCGCTCAAACTCAAATAGAATTTCTCGGGCACGTCGTCACACCAGAAGGTATTAAGCCTTTGCCTGAAAAAGTTCAAGCGATCGACAATTTTCCTCGGCCCAAAGTTGCCAAAGAACTACGACGGTTTTTGGCGATGATAAACTTTTACCGTCGGTTCTTACCTAACGCAGTGCATCACCAAATACCGCTGGTAGAAGTAATCCCGGGAAATCGAAAAAATGACACAACCCCAATAAAATGGACCGAGGACGCGGTCAATCACTTCAGCGAATGCAAGAAGCAGCTAGCAAACGCAACACTACTAGTGCACCCAGCACCAAATGCCCAGATATCGCTAAGTACAGACGCCAGCGATAATGCCATCGGTGCTGCACTCCACCAAATCGCCCACAATGAATTTCAACCGCTCGCATTTTTTAGTATAAAGCTCACCGACGCCCAACGTAGGTACCGTACCTATGATCGGGAGTTGCTCGCAGTACATCTAGCCATAAAACATTTCCGCTGTTTGTTAGAGGGAAGACCGTTCGAGGTACGGTCGGTTCGTAAGCCACTCGTGTATGCTTTCATGAAAAAACCCGAGAAAGCATCACCGCGACAGCTGTGACAGCTTGATTTCATCAGGCAGTTCACCACAAACATTGTTCACGTCGGCGGTACCGAAAATACCGCCGCCGACGCACTATCACGCATCGAGACAATCGAGTCAATAGCAATCGACTACAAACATATCGCTGAAGATCAAACAAAGTGTTCAGAGCTGAAAAAGCTCATCGAAGGCAATACTTCTCTGCAGTTAAAATGGATACGCATGCCAAATACCGAATACAAAATCTGTTGTGATGTATCTACACAGGAGGTACGCCCGTTTATACCACAATCGCACCGTAGAAATATCGTCAATAAGTTGCATAGCATTTCACACGGAGGTGTTCGGGCAACCACAAAACT